TACAATATATATATATATATTTCAAAGGAATATATAAATAAATACATTAGAAATTCTTATTACACATCTCTGTCTTTATTCGTTTCTTTAATTATCTTCGGAGACGGATTAGGAGAATTCAAACAAACCAGGTAACTGTGTTAAATTCCGTAAGAGGAGTAGGCGGATTTGAGCGAGTCAATTACTAACCTGTAAAATAAGCCGGCATGTCCACTCCAGCGGTCGAGTTGATTTATAATAGCTACACATCACATGCCTTCCACTACTACAGCTTTATAGCGCCTTCCCCTTCTCCGTTGAATCGTAAAACATCAATCTAAACATACGTTATGATTGCGTTTTAACTGCTGCTTTTAATGCAAGTCGTGCTTTATGACGTGTTAAGGAGCTATTTCGTTCATGGCGCATGACGAAAGCGGTTCTTTTTTCTTTTTTTTTTTTCCTTTTCTTCTCATCCCTCCCACTTACCACGCCCCGCTTATGCTAAGGGAAGATGGCCAGTTCATACCCTTTCGATAAACCGACTTTATTTATGGTATCGGTACCGATATGTAATGGGTTGTGCGTGATTCTGCTCGTCCGGCCGTAAAGCCAATTTGCGACGCTTTTTCCACCGATGCTTTGATACTGATAAACGTCAGTCCGAATACGTTTTCGGAATCGAATCGATTATATATTATACTATTACATAATATAATTTTGCTACTGATGCTATTGTTTTTTATTTATTTATATTAATGCATTAAAAAAAAATACTCTCTTCCCGAACACTGAAGTAATTAAATAATATCCCTCTAGCAGTTTTAAAGTTACTGTGGCCTATAATTAATAGCGAGGTTGCGGCCGAAGTTTTCATCTCTAAAACGTGAACGTCGAACGTCAAGCGACGCTTACAAGATAGCGGCTCTTGACGTTCGACGTTAACGTTTTAGAGATGAAAACTTCGGCCGCAACCTCTCTAATAACTGAGTTCAAAATTAAAGTAGGTTAAGAGTGTTTCTGGAATCTATTAATTTGTGTAATAACGCTTCATATTTCTTACATCGTCTATCTTTACACATGTAAGTTTTTTTAAATATATGAACTTGTATGTAATTATATTCAGTCTTAAATTGATTTTTGATACTCGCAAAGAAATGAGCAAAGCGTAAATTTCTAACAACACTAGTTCCTTAATAAGTGTATTAAAGTTTTTGTAGTTGTTTTCAATTTATGTATTATCTTTACAACAATTACTCAAATCTTAAAAAAATTTATCAACGTGTTGCTTGAGTGTAGACTCTAACTTTTCAAACGTGAGAAGGGTCTGTTGTTTCTCATTGTTTCGCTCTCTCGAATACATTAGCGAAGATAAATCAAATCAGTAAGAGAACATTAGTAGCAACATTCTTAAAAGAGTGGTTAAAAGTTGGAGATTTGGAAGTTGTGAAAATCTCTACGTAGAAATATGTTAAAAATTGCAGTTAATCGAGGATTAGCATCATAATTTTAAATATATTCATCTTTTTTTTTTAAAAAAAGAATATATATATTTTTCTTATTAGCTGTCAGATCTGAATTCATAGCATTGATGCTAGTAGCTAGGCGTTGATATAAACGAATTGTTCTATCTATCTCCTTAAGCCTTGACAAATGATCAGGAAAACTTTGGACATTAAATCTTAGGAGATGAGAAAGAACTCCGCATCAAAAAATCATTAAAATCTAATGAGAGATCAGTTTAAACAAGGTAACTGCTGTAAAACTTTTACGGTAATAGTACTGTAAGCTCGAGGTAATTTAGAATTGAGAAGCTTTTTTTTTTTAATAAATAATTCGGGAGGACCTGCTGAAAAATGTCATGAAAGATTTATTTCCTGTTACATGATGTATAAATTTGTCTTTACTTTTTACATTAAAGTTAGCCTATATTCAGACGGAACTGTTTTCTTTTTGAGACGTTAATTGAGGAATTTTCAGATAAAAGATTTTCTTCTAACTTGCCAATTCATCTATTTTCCGTGAATTTTTTTTTTCTTCTCTTCACTTTATTTTACCTTTAGTTTGTAACATTCAAGCAATGCGGGATATAGTTCAGAAAAGGGAAAAGTAAAGAGATTTTATGAAATATTTATTGCCAGCTCTTTTCCTTTGTTCATTAGTATAAATATAATATGTGCATATACGAATAACCTTTGAAAGATCTAAGTGATCCAATAATGCAATATACATTATCTAGTCTATTCAGAAAAAGATATATAAATATCTAAGTATATATAGTCTATATATTGCATACACCGAATAGACGAAACCTTTATGGAAAATGAAAATTGTGGATTATAATGGGACAGATTGAATTCTTCATTGGCAGTGCAGATGAGGAAATTAGAGACTTAAAGGATCGAATTTGAAAGGTAAATAAAAAGCCCGTATTTTCACGCCTTTTTGTGAAATCCATTCTACCATATAACACGAGCATACGATCTTTTGAACCGAGATCATCCATGGTTTTAGAATTCCTGATTTAGCAGTCATCCGTTACATTTTACGAAGGAAATTGAATTTCACTCTTTTTTTATAAATAAAGCGGGATGTGAAGTAGCTGAAGAGGGGTGAAAATATGCGAGGTGGACAATTATGTTCAGGCCTAAAATGTAATTTTTTCAGATCTTCAAATTTCTTTCTTAGTTTTAGTACTAAAACTACGCTAGTAAATACTTAGCCTTTATCTATATACAGTAGACCCCCCTATAACACTGTAGATAATTCCATGTTGTACGAGTCACTTAGATTTTACAAATACGTGTGCCAGGCTGTGAACGACTCACGTATTTGTAAAATCTAAGTGACTCTTACAACATGGAATTCATATAAAACGGAATTATCAACAGTATTATAGGGGGTCGACTGTATAATGTGTGCGTTTGTGTCATACACGAAAATAGGAACCTTTTAACTTTGAAATCTAAATCAAGCCGATAGAGTTGTTATTTTGATTTTCTAATGTCTTCTAGGTACGACCCGTATTTGCTCCTGGGAACATGCAAAAACAAATTTCTTTGTCTTATTTTATGAATTATATTTTGCCGTAAACATATAAGAAAATGATAGAGATATGTCGTATCCATTTCTTATTTTCTTACAGAAGAATGATTATATTTTCTTCATCTTTCCGACCGTTCTTATTTGTGACAAATAAGATATTAAAATTCGGTGTAAAAATTTAGTCAAAAGTTTTAGATCTAAAAATAATTTTCTCCAAACCATAAGAAATCTTTCGATGAATAAAGTATAAAGAGTTCTCTGAAAAATTTATATTTTAATCCTTAATATTTTATGCACATTTTTATATGTAGCTTAGTAAATTAACCTTTTACTGTCTGCCGACTTGAAAGATGAGGTGAATAAATTGTGTAAATTTTATGCAGCTTTGTCAAAACACACGACCGTCTAATCAGAGTTACTAGGATGGTCATTTTAACTACCGAGATAGCTGACTTATAAACAACCTAACATGCTGTAGATGCGAGCTGACAAATAATTTAGTATGACGGCTTTTACATTTTTATATATTAATTAATCTTTTAAGTATTTTTGTAGTAAATTTATACGAGATTTTAAAGACTGGAGAGCGAGCCTCTTTCACTTTTACAAGCGTACAATTTAGTGTGGTCGTAAAACGTTGTTAGGTTAGAACAGGCAGGTAAAAAAAAAAAAAGAAAAAACTTTTAACTCTGACTTCTAGACTGTAAAAATCAACCTTTAAAGACAATGCTAATGCGTAATTCGATTTTAAGAATTCAGTTTCTACGAAAAAGTTTGGTAGTTTGGTGCTTCAGTTTTGCTGGTCATTTTATGTAGAAGAAAAAGTGATGCTTAATAGTTTTTGAGTGGCTTAATGTCCCTCTTAAAAATAAACGACTTTGGTCAAATTAATACCGAAATGAAGCGGAAAACTTTTTGAACAAGTTTCCGAATAGATATCGAATCCTTTTAGTAAGAAATTTAACACCTAGAGTAATATTTTTATATTGTTTTTTTTTTTTTTATTTTCTGGGACAGGTGTGAACTTTCCAATTGATAGCACGTTTTTCATTCTGACCTTCTTTTCAAGATTAAATGAAACCTTTCTAAAAATGGAAAGAAACATTTGACAATGCTTTACTATGAACTAAGCAGACACTAAATATTTTCAATATTTAATGATTTATTAATAAAAAGCCATACAAAAATCAATGAAGTATCTTTAAGCTTTTTCTTGTGATTTATTTAATATATTGATTTTGAATCACAACTGGGTAGTATTTATTCATTTTCCCACCAATCTGAATGTTATTAATATTAACATTTTAAAGATGGATTCATGAAATCAATGTTTAACTTATCAAATATTTAATCTACTCTTTGAAGAAATCATTGCTAAATTTCTAAATCGCTATTCTTGTTTCTATTCACTCTTGGCTTTTTCCTTTGCAAAATACTAGGATATTGCTAAAAACAATGAAAGGAGGAAAATGGTTGATTGCTAAGTTGTTAATTGGAGAAGAAAACAGAATTTCTACTATGTTTAATTCATATTTTGTTAAGATGTCGACCGATATCGCTAATGGTTCACTGAATAATTAGCATTGAACTAACTTTCCTCTTAGCAAAATGGAAAGTGGTGTCATATATTGGTGCCAATGTTTTTCATTAACAACAATGCAGCATGATCGTTAGGGCGGTCGTTTTCTGACCTCAGGTCTTTTCCACCCACATTGATTGTCTTACAATCCAATTTCACTTTATTTATTCATTTTTTTCAGACCATCTTTCTTCCATTGAAAAATTTCTCAACGATGCTATTATCGGGATGAATATATTTTGAAAATTATGATAAGCTGTAATATAAATCATTATTAACTCCTTTTCTTTTTGAAAATTAAATCCTTTATCATTCTTATAAACAAAGAGTTTATAAATAAGGAGATAATTTAAATAAAAGAATATTTTTATTTACACACAAAAATTGATCTTTCTAGGCACAGCTGATGGAGAAGAGGTTGGCTGAAGCAACTTGGAATGCTAGCCAACATGGAGATTCTTGCAATGTTGGTTCTAATATAGAAAAACTGACAAATCTACATTCTGAAAAAGATGATGCTATCAATACATTAGAGCAACAAGTGGAAGAACAGGTGAGTGTTTTCAAATAACATTAGTGTGGAGAATATCTCTCGAGATCGTTCACATTTTATAAAGATCCAGCACAAACTTCCCATACTGCACGAAATTTCTTTGTTCTCCTGTGGGTTGTAAAAACTTTTGTTGGTGATCAATACACTCTATATGTTCAACTTGGGCATTTTCTTCGACTAAAGAAATTGAGTTTGGGATATAGAGAAAAGATAAAATAAACAGATCCAAAACCATGTTTTTCTATTATATTTACTTCTACTTTATTTATATTGTATTTAAATATAAAATTGTTTAAAATGTTTTATTTCTGATAAAGTATTTTATATATAAAAAAATAATAAAAAAAATATTGTTTATTAAATTTTATAATTATTAATTTATGAATTAATATAATTAATAATAATAAAATTTAATTGTATCAAGAACTGTCAAGAGTAAAAACTGTTTAAGGAAATGATAAGTATAAGTCTGAGGTATAAATTATCTTGTTCTTTGCACATATCTCTCTCATAAATTCACCAGACTCATGAATTGTAGAGATGGAATAATTGACAGTTGCAAACATTTCCTGCATGCAAATGACTCCATATAAGCAGGATTGGCATACGTAATGTTCAGTTTGGATCTTTTCTCTTGTGCTTAATGTTATTGACAGAAAAAAATTTTTTGTAATAGACTTGTTGACTTTCTTCAGCTTTCCAGTGACAGAAGAATGAATCAGCAAGATGTGAGGTGACTGTTGAGAAACCAATTTAGTTTCCCCACAGGACTGACCTCTTCTGATTGTTGTGTCTAGTTAGTGTTTGTCTAACAATAGCAGATAGTTGTAAAAAATTGTTGTATTATAATTAAATAATTTTTGAATCAATACAGTTTTAGCTTAATGTTTAATGAAGACCAATCAATTAATCTTCAAATTTATTTTATATTTAAATTAAAATGATTTAATTTGAAAAAAAAATATATTTTCTTACCGACATTGCTTATTATATTTTACTATTTAAATACATCTAGCATTATATTAAATCTGCTTAATATATTAAATAGATTTAAATTTAGATTTATTTAATAGAAAATGATAAATTTTGTTTAATCAGAAAAAATTAAGGATTCAGGATGCAAGACAAGTTGAAGCTAAGGCTGCTAAAATCAAAGAATGGGTGACAAATAAGTTAAAGGAGGTAAAAATGAAATTGTTTTGATTAAATTTTTAAAAATTAATTTAAATTCATAAAATACTTTTTGTCAGCTCAGTCTTTTGTAACTTCATTTTCATTGCATTATATATTCTTTTAATAAAAATATTTATTAAAATTTTTTTTATAGTTTTAATGAAAATCTTATCTATAACTATTAAAATTCAAATTTCATAAAGATTAAAAATTAGATGCCATTCAAGTTTTGTGTATAATTAGTTTATTGCTTATTAATGATATATATATATAAATTATATAAAGTAGAGATAAATACAATTATTTTTTATTTCACATTAAAAACAATTGCATTAATATATTATTATTTCCTTGCAACTCATTTAAGTATTATTAATCAATAAATATAAAGTTTTAAACTGATTAAAAAGAAAATTATTATATAAAAGTAAATTCATGCACAATAATATGAAATACTATCAGTTAAAAAAAAAAAGAAAATTTGAATTTAATATTTTTCTGTTGTTAACTGTTTAAATATTTTTGAGTCAAATCATTACTTAATAGTTTTTAAAATTTTTTAATCATTTGGTGTGGGAAAATTTCCTTTGTTGCAATGTGTTTAAATGACTCTCTTGGTCTCTGTCCTATTTTAATTGGCTTTAAGGATAATAATGATGTCTTTTTTAGAAATATTAAATTCTTTTATTCTTTAAAAGTACTTCCATTCATTTGTAATAATTCATTAAAAATTTTGTTTTAAGCTTGAAGAACAGAATCAGCATCTCAGGCAACAAAATCAGAAATGTAATGAACAACTTGAATTGTTGAAGAACCGTTTGACTCAACTTTCTCAGCTGAGTTCCCGTTCAAAGCCAAGAGATCGAGCAAGCACAGAGGTATAGTGATGGTTTTTTTTGTTTTGCATTAAATATGAAAATATTTTAAAATACTGTATTATTTTATACATGCATATATGAAAGTATATATATACAGTATACAGTATGTAGATATAATTAAGTAATATTTTATAACAGTTTTAAATTAAAAATATACAAATTTACATTGTAAATTGTTTAAAAAAATCACTTTTGAAGTGTTTGAGTTTATTTTGTCAAAATTAACTACTTATTATCTCTAACTATATTTAATATTTAGATTTATATTTAAGGGGCTGTTCGTAAATGACGTCCACACTTGGAGGGAGGGGGTTGAATTTTGTTGGACGTCCAAAGAAGGAAGGGATTATGGAAACTTGAACAAACTGGAACAAGAGGGGAGGGGGAGTAAAAATTTCAAGAAAAATGAGGATATTATGGACAGTCCCTAATGTAAATTACAGTACTCCTATATCTTTATTCTTATATATTTGAATTATTAAGGAAGGACTTTTTGGAATAAGAGCATTTAAAAAAGGAAATTTTGATAAATCTGATGGTATAGTTTATATTTCCATTTAAGAATATGACAAATTATATATACAGTATACATATAAAATTTAAATTATCTACTAAAATTTACTTCTTTAATTGATAGCAAAAACTGTATTTAAGAAAATTCATTCTTGATTCATAACTTGTGGCATTTTCATTAAAAAGTTAAAATACAGTGGGATTACTTTTTAAGATATGTCAGCTAGGAAAACTTTAGATCTAATACTGAAAATATCCAATATTTAATAACTGTGGTTATTAATTACAGCGGTATCTAAGTACTCCAACTACTCCGAACCCAAACAATTCGGGATTTGAACACATGTTTGAGGAAAAATCACTCCGTGCTTGACTGAACAAACATGACCTGCTAGAACAAATTTTAGGTTAATAACAAATATTTTTATTTTTACTTTAATTTTGTCATACATAAAAATTTCCTATGATAAAAATGAGTATCTAATTTAAAACTAAAATGAAGCTTTAAGGTTGCCTATTCCAAGTTGATGAAATGTTTCAACAATAGGTTACATGTCTGTGACACATTACCATTTGTTAACAATTTCTTCCTGCAGTTTTTTCTTCATCGACAGCTTTTGGGTGCCCTTGAGTTCAAAATTTCCCAGAACAGAACTTTTAAAACCTCATTTGACATGTTCAAAGTTTAGTGTATCTCCCATGTACTTGTTACCAATATACAGTAGACCCCCCTATAATGCTGTTGATAATTCCTTGTTATATGAATTCCATATTGTATGAGTCACTTAGATTTTACAAACATGTGTGCCGGGCTGTGAACGGTTCGCATGTTTGTAAAATCTAAGTGACTTGTACATCATGGAATTCATATAACACAGAATTATCAACAGTGTTAAATTTGTATATATATAACAGTTGTATATATACAACTGTAGTTAAATTTGTATATATATAATATTCGTAATATGAGTATTGATTTTACTAAAAAACGTGAAGTAAAAAGTTTAAAAAATAAGCTTTTAAACAAATAATACAGTCTCACACTAGCAATAATGTGTTACATTTCATAACTTACTTCATCTATGTTAAGTAATGATAGCTGTTAAAAATAAAAACTTTCCATTCAACCCTATAAAATTAATTGTATAAAATGCTCAATGAAGTTTTTCTTGACACTAAGAATTTTTATCTACTTTTTAAAATGGTTTTAATTAAAAACATCAATTTAATTTATACTTTTTAAGAAAAGGATTATTTTAACTTTGCGTATCATTTTCTGCACTACTATTTGATTTTAGTATTCTTTAATTGTATTATAAAAATTGTAAATCTTTATATCAATCATCTGATAATTCATAGTATATTCATTAATATAATATTATGATTTATCAAATTTATTGTTTTACACTAAATATTTAATTAATTAATATTTAAATTCAAACATTAATTATATGTTATTGATGTTTAATTAAATTAATATTTAATTAAACATAAAAAGCTTGCATGTAAATATTTGCATATAGTGTTAGAAATTTCAAAATCTATTAATTTATAAAAATATATAAAATTTTCAATATATTTTACATCTTATAATTTATAAAACTAAAACCAGGATTCTTCAAGAGGAAGTTTTGAAGATAGAGGTGAATCTGATGATAGTTTACCACCAGAAATACCTGAAAGAATATCTCCAACAAGCATTCGACGGATTAGACGTGAACATTCTCTTGGAGAAGAAGGCACAACACTTAGGGAAGCAATTCTTCGTGAAGGACATTGTAATGCAGATTCAGATTCGGATCCACTTTATGCAGCTGTTGATTACTCAAAGAAAAAATCTCATACTCGTTCTGCTCCACCTCGTGTGAAATTGGAAAGGAAAAAATATAATGATGGTAATGCATCTATATTGAGTTCTACAGCATCAGAAGAACAGTGTGATTCTGAAGCTGATGTGCGACATGATTCTAGAGTTGATTCTGGTTCGGTTGATGTGGATACACCAGCATGCTTGACTCCAAGAAGCCCATTAACACCTAATGCTCTTGTTTCTATCTCGGATCCCCCAACTAATGGAGATAGTTCGGATGGTACATCTCCACATTCTGATGGTAAGAGAAAACCTGTACCCCCACCACGCTCACGAGTTCCAGCCAAGCCAAAGGCAAATAACTGCTCTAGTTCTCCAGTTGTTTCTCAGGTACAATCACAGCCAATGGTGTCAAATTCAGAAATGAATGGATCTAAACATGGTGCTTCGTCTTCTTCTAGTGACAATTATGATAATGTGGAATGTAAAATATCTAGTCAGAAAAAAAGCAAAGTTGATCAACATTCTTCCAGTGAAAAGAAAAAAATTGTGTGCGCTGATAATGAAATTCATGATTATGCTGAAATATACACACCAAGTCAAGAGCTTCCAAATTTTCCTTCTCGAGAAAATGGTGATGACTTAGAAGGAAAACCACCAACTCCACCACTTCATCGATTTCCTTCTTGGGTAAGTTAAATTCATAATTTCTAAGTAAACCTAAGTAAATAATTGCATATTTTATAAATCAATATATAAATTATAATTAGATTTTTGATATTTTAATCATACTCATAAGTTTTTCAACTTAATAGCATAAACTGTAGTTTACTTTAAATTTTTTTAGATTTGATAATAGATTTATTTTTATTACATCTATATAATAAAGATACTTTGGTCTCATTAACTGACATGTAATAGTTCAGTAGAAGCAGACTTCTTACAGAGAAATGAAATAGTACCTTTGAAAAGGGACATAAAGTATATGACCAGAAAAATCTGAAATCTTAAAAAAGTCATTTTAGGTCCTATGAGATGTAATTTGGGCTCAATTCAAGCTTTGAATGGCACGGTTGGAAAGGTGTAATTAGTATTTAAAATGTTTTGACTGTATATAGGTATAGGTCATTTCATGAACCTTGGCTGGGGGCTGCATATTACCAAAATGAGCTCTGGAGTATTTAAAGTGAGAGAGTGCTGGTGACCTAAAATATGCTTAAGGTCTGGTTAAATTTATTTAATATGTATCAAACAAACAATATTACTAGATTCTAAAATGGGCTATAATATGGTTTATTACAAAGATATGTAATCCTTGCTACTGTAAACCCCAGCAACATTGCCAAGGTTTTTGAAATATACTATACTTACACAGGGTGGTCATAATTAGTTTCCCTATTTAGAGCATTCTGTAACCTTAACCGATAAGCAGATTCACACTAAATTTTGTATGCAAAAGATGATGCAATAAAAGATTTTGCAAGAAAAAAAAATTAATTCAAAAACTTCCACTAGGGGTGCTTTACAGAAAAATACATAAAACAAACAACAAAAATACAATGACAATGCATTTATTTATTCCACAAGGGACATGTCTTCTGCAGAGACTATTTACTTATATAAGGAATGTTGCTCAATGTATGCCCCATTGTTCAAGTGTAAAATTTGAAGGTGAGGAGCAAATGTGTTCATTGTCTGAACAGCTGACAATAACTGCTGTCCAATGATGCTTTTCATGGCAGTGTAATATTATCCTTTAAGTCTGCCAAAGTTGCAACATTTTCTTGATAAAATATATTCTTTAAATGCCTCCACAACCAGAAATTACACAAATTCAGATCCATGTCATTTTCACTGATTTTATTGTAGTGTTTCAAATAACAGATTAAAATGTCACTTTTAGATCAGTTTTCATTATTTACTGTTACGTTTTGTTTATTTTTCTGTGAAGCACTCCAGTTTTTGAATTTTTTTTTAATCCTTTTCTTCATTCTTTGCATATTCTGTATACAAATTTTGGTGTGAATCCATTGGTTACTGTTATAGAGTGTTCTGAATAGGGAACATTTAATTATGATCACCCAGTATTTTTCATAAGTCAACAACTTGCTTAAATCTTCATGCTGTATTTCCTGTAACAATCACCTACTGGACAATTTTTTAAAAATTTTTTGTGGCTGATTATTGAAGTAAAAAAAAATATCGATGATACAAAGAAAAAAAAAGCATGATTCCAAAAAAGATGTAAAATCAATAAAACTAAAGTAAAACTAGTTAAATTAGAATATCTTGATAAATATATAAAAATAACTTTAATAATGTAATTGATTTACCTTAATTAACTTTGTAAATTTTCACAATTACAATATTAGTAACATTGAACATTGATATTGATATTAACCAGTATTCATTTTTATGACTTTGATATTGGAAAATATTGTTTTAATAGTCATTTATTTGATAATATCAAATACCACTAATATACCAATGAGTTTACCTCACAATACAACTCATATGAGGGATTATTTCAAGGGTACATGTATGTGGGAATCATTGGGTTGTGGGATGTTTATATATATACAATATATATACATATACTGTATATTATAGTTATGTGGGCAGTTATCAGTTATTATAGGAAATATGGTATTTTATTTATACCATTGCACTTATAATTTAATTTATAAAATATTAAAAACTTCAAAATGACCAAAAGTATTAGAAAATAGTCTATGTCAAGGAGAGAATCAAAGCACTAAAAACTACAAAATAGTACATTATACTATTTGAATTGTTTTTAAAATACTTTTGCAACCATCTTTTGTATTCATAATAACAAAAATTGAATAATTATAAGAAAGTAATTTAAGAGGCATAAATTATCATTTACTGGTAATAAAATAAAAATATATTTTTTACTATAACATTTTATGAAACATTATATATTCTTCTTACATTATATTTTATTTGTATTATTAATGTTTTTAATGTTTTCTAATATTAGAGATCAGATTTGGTAGCAATTGCTACTTTTTTCTATATATATTTTAAGCAGACATAACTCTAGAACCTTTCTAAATGAATCATATTGTTCTACTTTTTGCAGATTTGTGTTTTGCTATTTTATTACTACTATCTTTTAGACACATTTTGCTGAATTTTTCTTTAGAAACATAAACTTTTATATTCCAAACATACTTTTGCAACAAAAAGAGTTCATGCAATTTACCAATTGATGGCACTAATTTTACTAATTTTCTTAGTGCAAAGTTGGATCTATGGATAGTTTCTACAGAGGAAATAAAGACCAGAGACACACTCCCACTTCTTTATGTGCACCTTCACAAATTCATCCACAAATTCAATATGGTTATAACATATGAATGGACAACTTTCTTAAAAGCAAAATAATATAGAATTGTATTGAATATGCAAAATACAGTTGTTACTTGCTATGCTTGCAGACTCATAACAAAGATGTATAGTGAGAAAAACAACCTCTGTACCTGCAGCAATAAATAAACTATTCAGTAATTTGCTTATAATTGCACTGCTATGTCTGAGCAGTGACCTCACTGAATGTTTGGTCTTTATTTTGATCTATGGTAGACTGCTACCATACCATCTCTATGTAATATTTACTTTATACTATATACCTAGATATAGAGAATTTTAAGCACTAGAAAAAATTTTAAAATAAATGGGTACTTCTCGGCAACCATTGTGCTGTGAATTAATAATGTGTTAATATTACTATTATTTTATATAAGTAAGATGTCCAAGAACTTTAATATCAAAATGCTTATAACAGTGATCAGGCCATTAAAAATTCACATTACAGTTTTCTTATTGATATTAAAAATTTGAACTCATTGAACAAATTGGACTGATCAAAACAGTTCAAAAATGATTGTTTCAAAATCTCCAGAACATAAAATTTATTAGAAAAATATTGGATACAAAATTGCACTAGAGTATAATGCAGTACTATATGATGTATGATTAAATATGGATCCAAATATCATTGCTGTATTTAATTGCACCTCTAGCAATAGGTGATGTTGAGAGATCATTTTCATTACATAATTGATATTGTGAATGAAAAATGTAATAGATTTACTGAAAAAATGTGATATAATATATGTATATAATGATATTCTCTTTCTCTCCATAATAGTAACTTTAACATAAATTAATACAGTAGTATAAAGTAAATTATAATAAAAAGTTTAGATATTAATACTATATGTCATATTATACAGAGTGCTTCAAAAAATATTATCCATATTGTATGGATGGATGTAATGTGGCAGGTTAATCTCTGCATAGTTGTCCACTGTGTGCAAGAACTCACAACTAACTGGGGTGTTCTCTAAGAGGTAGAACCCTATTATCTCTGCTGCTGTAACTGCTGCTTTCTCTGTATAAGTGTTAACGTTTTTTGAAGCACTCTATATAATACTATTTATTATATTAAACATAAAATAAATAAAAGTTAAAACAATAAAGGAATTACAGAGGTTTAATTCAATATTCAGTGCTTTCTAATATATGTGAACAATAAAGATTTATTTTTGAATTTGCTACTTTTTACTATTATTGAGATTTTTATTGCTGCTTTTTCGGTTTTATGCAGTTACAAAAGCCGATTTTCAGTTATTATAATTTAATATTCAACGAATACTTCCAAGCCTTGGTAACGTTATGAAAGTTGTTTTTTTTTAGAAATCGCTCTCGATGCAATTACCAACATCCATTGCCTGTTAATTAGCAGTTTTAACAACACACAAGGTGATTAAGAAAAAACCTGGCCACCTAAATGACTGATGATAAATATGAAAACGAGTTTAAACCGTCCGTGTATTCTGTAAGCCTATTTTTGTATCACATCATTTTCACTTTCATTCTGAATTTGGTAAATTTGATCGAGAATTCTTAGTTTCTCAGTATATAAGAAATAATTCAGCGGAGTTTTGGGTATGTTTAATTTTGACCACAGCACAGAGAACTAATTAATTGAACTGTTTAATAACTAGAACAATTTCTAAACACTTAAGCTCATTTTCTATTCCACAAAACTAAAGTGATGTAATAAAAACATTGCTTTAGTTTTGTAGTAACAATTTGGTTTATTTATGTTTTCTTATACAGTATTTATAGTACTGCATACTCTTCACCAAACGGCCACCCCGTTATGGACCCGACCGAACCCATAATGGACTTGCTAAAAAAAGCCCTCTTAGTGCCCACAGGGCGGAAAAAGTTTAAAATACTGTATAATTTGACGTGCGTAAATGATTTTTTTTTGGTGCAAGGAAGTTTCAGTAAGTTGTAATTATGGTACTCTTATTATTGTTTACAACACCGGCTGCAAGCAGTTTTTATACAAAGTATTGTTAACTTTTCCAGTCCAATAATTTTGTTACATTTGTATCGATTGCATTCCGCTTTTTCTTGGTCTTCCGATCTGATACGACTACACAATATCTAGTGCGCCTAATATCGCCTAGTGGGCGTAAATTGGATGCACTGGTGGGCAGATATAGGCACCACTTTCTTGATACGCTATTTGTCACTGTTTTTTACGTTTTTACCACATTGCGCTCGCCATTACATCTCCCTGCCTACGGTACTTCTTTTTAGATGTTTGCTTTCTTATTGCCCATCGCATAGTCCTCAGTAGTGCACAA